ATTCTCTGTCCAAAAATGACTGTCCTTTCTCGGAGTAATCCTTCTTTGCATTGGCTGCCAGGAAGCTCAGAGACAAGTCTGTGGCAAGAGGGACTCGTCTTGTCTTATAGCAGCTGTCTCCCTCCCGGCTCTTTCTGGGTGTCTCTAACCTGACTAAAATCATTTTTGGAAGGAGGCAAGGCATCTTTTGTTTTTTTTTAAGACAGGGTCTCACTCTGTCGACCAGTCTAGAGTACAGTGGCGTGATCTCGGCTCACTGCAACTTCTGTCTCCCAGGTTCAAGTGGTTCTCCTGCCTCAGCTTCCCAAGTAGGTTAACTTTTTGATACCAGACAGTAAGCTTGGATTAAGTATTTTCCATAATAATGCTCATTCATTCATCCATCCTGGCAGCATCCACTTCAGGTTCTGAGCTGGGGTGAGGGATTCAGCCATCCAGGACAGGATCTGGAATTCGCTCTGCGCCTTTTCAGACCCTCTTCTCCTCCTCCTCCAGTAAGAAGGTCAACAGGACCTGCTTACAGGCCCCCTATTACTGAAAGCAAACTGAACCTCCAGTTAATGTCCTGCCCAAGGTTTCAAAGGTAGTGAGTGGCAGAGCTAGGCCCAGGCTGCCAGATGCCTCCTTGAGGGCATGGGTGTGGCAGAGGCGTGGCTGGTGCTGGAGGGTTGACTGAGGCCTGTCCCACTGCTGCTGTACACAGATGAACGTGGACTCAAAGGCCCTGGGGGAGATAGGACCACCAGGGAGCTAGTGTGGCCTGGGGGTTCCCAGGGGAAGGCAGTCTCTCCCCAACGCTGGTCTGGGCCTGGCCCTTGCTGCTGGGATGTGTCAGATGCTGTCCTGTGTCCTGCCCTCTAGCATCCCAGGAGGAGGGGGCCAGCCAGCAGGCCTGCTCCTGTTATGAGCTTCCTGACCTTAGAAAAAGCTCAAGCTGATTCCTACAGCCCTGAAGCCCAATGGTGGCTTCTGTGGCAGCCTCACCTGTGCCTCTTCCTGCTATCTCACCAGAGGCCGTGCCATCAGCCTTGCTCTCCACGCAGGTATGGTCATGCCACCAGGGCTCTGGCCTTTGACTGGTGTGTGCAACCCTGCCCTGCCCCCATTTGCCTGTCTCAGCCCTTGCTAGGGTGGAAGCTCCATGAGGGCCTGGCCAGTCGCTCTGCTGAATGCCTGAGGGAAAGACCAGTAACAGACCCCACTCAAGGTGGTTGTGAGGACCTGGCAGGGTGGGGGTGTGGCCCAGTACCTCGGAAGACTCTAGGAGGACCATCCTGGCCCTATAAATGTTTGTGCCAAGGCAGGTCCCCTGTCCCTCAGCACACAGGAAGGGGCAGTAGGTAGCAAGACAGTTTCCAGGTGACAGCATGAGGGCAAGTGAGTAAGGCCTAGAGAAGAAGGGTCCGTTGCCTCCAGCCCGTCACATTCCCTCCGGGTGGGCTGGCCAGCCAGGTGGGAGAAAGAGGGATCCTCAGGTAGGCGGGAGTCAGGGAGAGCTGCGTGCCCTCATGAGGCTGGTGTTTCATCTCCACTTCTCAGATGAGGGGACTGTGGCTCAGAGACCTTTGCAGGGGGACTGATCATTGCACAGGGCCGTCTGAAGGGAGCCTGGGACTGCATTTCCATGTAGGCCCTGGGTGGATCTGGAACCTGGCTGGCTTTCCTGGCTCCCCCACCCTTTGGCTCCCTTATGTTCTTGGCCTTCTTTTCACAACTCAGAAGCAGCCGAGTAGTTGGTCGTGTTGTCTGCAGTCGCACTGAAGCACATTTTATTTTGGCTAAGTGACATTCCTTTGTTGTCCCTGTCTTGTGATTAGTTAGGGTAATAGGTTGGTTATATTATGTGGAATTTATTGCAGGATGGTAAGGGAGCATGTGACAAAATGGAGCAATAGTTCTGTAAGGCTGAGAGAAGCTGGGTGTGTACCCAGTGGCTGGGCCACTCGGAGGGGACTGTCATGCTGTCAGTACTGTAGTGGGACCCAAGCAGGCTTTACTCACCGGCCTGTTAACAGCTGTGCAAGTCAGGCCTTTCGCTTGTGTTAGCTCACCTTGTGAAAAAATGAGCTCTGACTTAACAGATGACAACTAAGGAATGGAGAGCCGAACCCCTTGTTCAGGGTTGCATAGGAAGTGGCAGGGTCAGGGCTGAATCTTAAAACTTAGAGGGCAGGGCCTGGCGTGGTGGCTCACACCTGAAATCCCAGCACTTTGGGAGGCCAAGGTGGACGGATCACCTGATGTCAGGAGTTCGAGACCAACCTGGCCAACCAACATGGTGAAACCCCATCTCTACTAAAAATACAAAAATTAGCTGGGTGTGGTGACAGGCGCCTGTAATCCCAGCTACTCCGGAGGCTGAGGCAAGAGAATCGCTTGAACTCAGGAGGTGGAGGTTGCAGTGAGCCGAGATCACGCCACTGCATTCCAGCCTGGGCAACAGAGTCTTGAGACTCTGTCTCAAAAAAAAAAAAAAAAACCAAAAAACTCTAGAGGGTAAAAGAACTGTAACATCTGGGATAAAGTTAGCTGTTGAAATAAATACAAGTCCTACTGTTGGAGTAGTGTCAGCTGGCCTGCATCTTTGACTTTGAGACTTCCTAGCAGCCAGAACAAAGAAAGAAATGGATTATTTCCACTGGAGCCACAGTGGCCGTAACAAACAGAAGCCATCTATTTGGATGCTGGAAATGGAGAAGACTTGCTCCCTAGAAATAGATGCTGCAGGATGTGGTGGGTGACATTCTGTTCAAACCACAAATACCTGAAATGATTTGGCCACTGTGATCACCCAACCACAGTATGGCCTAAGCTGGGTCCAGGGAGCAGCTGTTGCTGGCCTGGCTTGACTTTTGAGGGAGGTGGAATAGCGGGCACATGAGAGAAGGGAACCTCAATCCCCCACAGCTGCTGACACAGCCCCCAGACTTGAGCTTGGCTCCCCCATCACCCATCCCCCCATATAGCTTAATCAGATGGGCATCTGGTGGTCCTTCCCTGCAGTGGCCAGAGTCCAGAGCCTGGGCTGTGCAGGCTGAGGTTTCGGCTGCAGCAGGGATTGTCCTGCCCCCGTGTGCCCACATGTTGCAACCTGGCTGGAGCCTCTGGCATAGGATACCCATACCGCCAGGTAGCTCAGTGGTAGACCCGGGCTCTGATACTTGGCAGGCTTGGGTTGAGATTGTGGCTCTAGGCCTGGGCGGCTCTCACGGACTGCTGTGGGGAGTCGGGGAAGAACCCCTGGGTTGTGCTCAGCCAGCAGGCAGGTGGCAGCCAGGCTGGCTATGGGTGAGGACGGGAATCCTCTTTTCACCACTGCCTGCCTGCTCAGCAGTTCCTCAGCTGCTGGGGGTGGAGCTGGCTTGCAGGGGCCAGAGTCAGAGTGAAACCGGCAGCTCTGCTGGTTAATCTCAGCACTGATACTGGGGACTAGGCCTGGAGCGGAACTGAAAGGGAGACCAGGCCTGTTCCCCTCCAGGCCTGGCCTATATCCTGCCAGTGATCCTTAAGGCCTGCAGCCAGTGGGGAGGGTGGAGGCCAGGCAGGGCCAACTGGAAAAGTAGCAGAAGGAAGTGGCCACTCGCACCTTACCCATCTTGCAGACAGGAAATGAAGGCTCCGCAGGGCTGGCTAGCTGTGAAAATGGGCAAGAGCACAGAGGCCCCACTCCCTGCACTGTGTCCAGTGCCCGTGTGGATGCCATGCAAGGCCTCACTCTGCCTGCCCCTTCCTGGCTGCTGGACCTCTGGGAGTGGGAGGTGAAAATGCCCTGGCTGGTGCTGGTCACTTCAGGTTGGAATGTTCTAGTCATGCAGCTTTCTAGTGAGAGGCTGCAGTAAGCTGTGGCCAGTGTTGGTCGTTCCTGCAGTCATTACTCTCCTCCAGCCTGTTGTGTCCGCCAACCAGAGCAGGCCCGGGAGCTCCCAGGAGACCTGCTGAGAGGGCCCAGGTGGCCATCCTGCTCCTGCCAGGATGCCCTCTTACCTCACTGTTCATTGACTCCCCTGCAGGTGGGGAAGAGGGATAAAGGAGGTGGCCAGGCCACTGGGTCATGATCCTTCCAACAGAGGTACCTGCTACCTCTGTGTCTAAAGCAAGGTTAAGCTTTTGGGGGTTAATAGCACTAGCAGCTCCAGTCCACGGTGTGCCCTTTTGGGCTTGGGTGGAGGTTGGATTACCTGAAGCCACGGTTGCTGGAACATCCTTTGGGCCTGCCTCTGCTTTCCATCCCCCTGCTCCTGGTTTGTTAGGGGCTATAGTATTTTCCAGGAACACCTGAATGGAAGGGGACCAGTGGGACCACTTCTGTCCATTCCTCACTTCATCTCTTTCTCCCCTTTTCTTCTTTTGGTCATCTTTTCAGTCTTATCACAAGAGGAAGGGGAGGGGCAAACCCCCTCCTGAGCAGATTCCCAACCGGAAGCAGCTGGCTCCTTGGCTGCAGAGTGCCCAGCACAGGAAGCATCTGCAGGGTCAGTCAAGACCTGGGAGCAGAGTTCCTGCCAGCAAAGGAACAGTGGCCAACTCCTAGCCACCCTGCAGCCCTATGTGCCGGGTGTCCTGGGAAGGTCCAGGGCCAAGATTTTGTGGTTTTACAGTGGCTGTAACTTGGGCTAGCCATGCTAGGCTCTGCCCCTTTTGGGCTTGGTGTGATGAGAGGGTCAGCAGCTGGCATCACCTGGCTGGGCAGGGAGCTCTTTGCTCACCAGTGGGAAGAGAAACGGATGTCAGACACATGGCAGAGTGGAAATGTCCCCAGGTCGAGGTCCAAGGGGCTGGCCTTCTGCCAGCACACGCTGCTTAGGACCTCAGTGTGAATGGTGTTCAGGAGGCTAGGGTAAGGCACCCTGGACCTCACTACAGGCTCAGAGCCTGCACAGCAACACCATGGATACTCTCTCTAAAAGGGGGACTCCTGGGGAGACTATAGACAAACTCAGGCCTGGCTGGAAAAAAAAGCATCAGGAACAAGCTTTGAGTACCCCATCTTGGTCTCGTAGAGTTCAAGGCCCAAGCTACAAGCAGCTTGCTCCAGCATCCAGGAGGTCCGGCGGTGCACACGCCTTGAGATGCCTGACAACCTCTACACCTTTGTGCTGAAGGTGAGTGACAAGGCTTTTCACACCCTGGGGCAATACAAATACATACACATACATCAGACCCAACCCTGTTCCCTTCCTTCCTGCCAGGTGAAGGACCGGACAGACATCATCTTTGAGGTGGGAGATGAGCAGCAGCTGAATTCATGGATGGCTGAGCTCCGGGAGTGCACAGGCCGAGGGTGAGGTCCCAGGCCCTCGTCCCTGGCACGACCTTTGCTGCTATCACCCCCTGACCTGCCCAGATTCTTAACCTCAGCCTCTTCTCCAGCAGGCTGGAGAGCACAGAAGCAGAGATGCATATTCCCTCAGCCCTAGAGCCCAGCACATCCAGCTCCCCAAGGGGCAGCACAGATTCTCTTAACCAAGGTGAGTAAACCAATGGCTAGGCCATTGTATTCTGGGTATGCTGGAACCCAGACTCAGCTCAGGACATAAGGCAGCCCCCTGCGACCACCATCACCCATCTTAATCTAACAGGTGCTTCTCCTGGGGGGCTGCTGGACCCAGCCTGCCAGAAGACAGACCATTTCCTGTCCTGCTACCCCTGGTTCCATGGCCCCATCTCCAGAGTGAAAGCAGCTCAGCTGGTTCAGCTGCAGGGCCCTGATGCTCATGGAGTGTTCCTGGTGCGGCAGAGCGAGACGCGGCGTGGGGAATACGTGCTCACTTTCAACTTTCAGGGGATAGCCAAGGTATGGGGCGGGGCAGGCAGGACCGTGCCACTCCTCTCCACTGGAGTTCAGGGTCCTAGAGGGACAGCCCGAATCCACCATCCTCTCCTCCCACAGCACCTGCGCCTGTCGCTGACCGAGCGGGGCCAGTGCCGTGTGCAGCACCTCCACTTTCCCTCGGTCGTGGACATGCTCCACCACTTCCAGCGCTCGCCCATTCCACTCGAGTGTGGCGCTGCCTGTGACGTCCGGCTTTCCAGCTACGTGGTAGTCGTCTCCCAGCCACCAGGTCTGACCCTACTGCCCTTTGCTAAAGGGGGTGGCTGACACTGGGTAGAGGCTTGCTGCAGACAAGGTACAGGGTACAGGGATCTTGTTCTGTGTCCTGTCAGCACTTGCCTTAAGACTGATGGTGTGGTCTCTCTCGGTCACTTGTCCTAGGTTCCTGCAACACTGTCCTGTTCCCTTTCTCCCTTCCTCACTGGGATTCAGAGTTGGGCCTTCCCCACCTTAGCTCTTCTGGCTGTCCCCGGGGGCTCAGCCCAGAGGGTCTCCCAGGGCGATCCTCACCCCCTGAGCAGATCTTCCACCTGGTGCCTTCGCCCGAAGAACTGGCCAACAGCCTGCGGCACCTGGAGCCTGAGCCTGTGAATCGAGCCCGGGACTCGGACTACGAAATGGACTCATCCTCCCGGAGCCACCTGCGGGCCATAGACAATCAGTACACACCTCTCTGACCAGAGAGGAATTCCAGGCCTCAACAGCTGCCCTTGAGGAACACAGGCAGAAGTGTGAATTTGTGAATGTAATTGATCTTTCCTTCCTTCCAGAGAGAGATTTAAGGGACACTGTTAACTGCTCATGCCAGTTTGGACGTGACCCTTCTATTAGGCCTGTTGAAGGGCCCTCCTGTAAGTTTCATCTATCACCTGGCTTTCTCCTTATTGTTTACAGATGTAGTTCTTGTTAGAGGATGCCGCTAGCTCCTGCCCGGGGTCCCTATGCCCAGTCCCTGTTACTCTTAGAGAAAGGAGTTGGGGTGAGGGCCAGAGCTGGCAGTGGAAACTTGTTCTCTTTTTCACTGACACTGTCACAGCAGATGACAGACTTTCTACGGGAAGTGGGGGTCATCAGGAAGCCCAGAACACTAATAAGCGGTTCTCCCATCTACCGTCAGTCCATGTGGCAGGTCTACTGTGTCCATGCCACAGATGACCACACCTAATCCTGCTTCTACTCTCAGCTTTAGGACAAAAGCTCTGTCAGAGGGACAAGCTGAAGGTCAAAAATGATTTTAAACATTTTACCTCAGACTAATTTCTTTAAAGGATTCAGGTTCAAAACTAAACCACTGCTTATTTCAGTGCACTGTTTCAACTAACACCCATGCAATTTTTGTAGTCGGAGAGAGCTATGCAAACCCTACCTAATTCACAGTCTGAGCCAGCACGCTGACTTGTCTACTGCATCCTCGGGACAGTCACTGCTGCTGAGCGGCCACTGTCCTTCCTAAATGTCAAGAAGTGAAGTATGTCACCCTTTCAGGGAAATTCAGGCAATTACTGAAATAGGGTGGCAAAGAACAGTTCTACCCTGGTGCCTTACGAACAAAAAACTGGATTCTGGTTTACAGCAGCTTTACAGTGATAGTTAACTGGGGTTGGGGGAAGAACAAGCCAAAAAGGAAGAAGGACTCCTGGGCCCTTTCTAGTAAATCCTTCAACAACAAGGCTGGCTCGGTGCCCTCCAAGCATCTAATGGCTTATTAAATTATCCCACAAGTGGGTTTTGGGCTCCTTTTTTGAGCCAAAATGGAAGCTGGGAATCTGGTGCCGTAACTAATGAGAAACTCTTTTAATAGCCCACAATCAGTGTTCTGTTCCAGCTGGCTACTGCTTCATTGGATTGAGAATGTATCTCCATGCACACATGGGCGCACACAATCTCCACCATCCAGGGAGGTCCTGAAGTCAAATCTCCATCTATACAAGTGATACAATTCATGGCGGGCTGGCTCCTCCCAGAATCTTTGTCTGGAGGCTCAGAAACAAGGGGGCAGTGACAGTGGAATCAGCTGCTCTTGGGTGCCAACAGAGCCATTCAGTACAACCCCCAGGCTCATGGCTGTGGCTTCTAGGAAACTGGGAGTTTAGATCAGCTTTACAGATACATCAATCAGAGGCTAAAATGAAACCTTGGCCTAAAACTCGCAGGACTGCCTGCCTGGGAGGAGGGCTAGGTCTGCTCCTTCTACTTAGTCTCTGTACTCCAAGAGGTCAGATTTCTGCTTTTAGAATTTTCTTTGGGTCTTTCAGAGGGTGGGGAAACAAACCCCTCTGCACCACTGTTTTTCTTTCTTTCTTTTTTTTTTTTTTGAGACGGAGTTTCACTCTTGTCAACCAAGCTGGAGTGCAGTGGTGCGATCTTGGCTCACTGCAACCTCCACCTTCCTGGTTCAAGCAATTCTGTCTCAGCCTCCTGAGTAGCTGGGATTACAAGCGCCAGTCACCACGCTCGGCTAATTTTGTATTTTTAGTAGAGACAGGGTTTCGCCATGTTGGCCAGGCTGGTCTCAAACGCTTGACCTCAGGTGATCCATCCACCTTGGCCTCCCAAAGTGCTGAGATTACAGGCGTGAGCCACCATGCCCAGTCTGTACCACTTTAGTACCAACACTCCTGGGTGATTTCATAGACCCTAAAGCAGACCTGACACTGATCCAGATTTGCAGTCCATTTTTAAGGACACCTGTCTTTATCTCCTCAAAGTCAAGCAGCTTTCTCTGGAAAATGAATGCTAACTAGTGTGAACCAAAAGAGTAAGTAATAGTCTGAAGTTTTTTAAGGGAGAAAGCTCAAAAGTCATTGGTTCTCCCCTCCGCACAGGGAAGATGCCCAGTAGATAATGAACCAAATTAAGTTCCTTCCCTCCAGCCAGAAGTTAAACATCTGGGATATGACGTCTTCACACCAGGGGCACTCATTTCTTAGCAGCCTCTCTACACACATCTCTCAGGTGGTGCCAAGAGGCACACCACGTAGAGCAAACTTGGCAGCTCTAACAGGCTGCAAAGTACAACTTCAGATTCCGTGGCAGAGATTTGGAAAGCACCCACCTCCAGACTGCTTCCTTTCTAAACTCGTCCGAGTTACCAGGACAGCTCAAATACATGCTGACAAAAAACTCTCATGGCCCTAGGAAGAAGTGACACTAAGCCAACGCCTTTTCTTTGTGCGGGAGCAGACCCAGCTGATGAAGGGGTGGGCAGCAGTGTGGGGCAGGCACCCCACTGGCTGCAGCTAGCCCACCATAGGCACAGCACATCCCACCACTCTCCTTCTAGTCCCGACCAGGCCCCAGCCAGCAACTTCTACCGAGAGCCATGGCTCAGCACCAAACTGGACAGTAGACATCATGATCCCTCCAGTTAGCTCTAAAATTACAGACCCCACCAGTAGAGCTTGACAGCTCCCGGCACCATCACTTCCTTCATCTGACTTTATTGAACTTTTACAAACTAACAGTCACCAGCACCAAAGAATTAAGTCAACTAACCTGCCTTGAATTTTAGACCAGCAATCCATATGGCTTTATCTGGTATAAATCTTCTGCCTTTGATCATTTCTGGACCGTAGGAAAAAGGAATAGCAATCATTAAAATCTTGGGCCAGAGAACACTATTTTTACATAACAGTTTCTTAACCTAAAGTCAAGGCCTTGGACTCTTCCCTGAGGGTTGCCTGCGATTCCTTCATGCTTTCTATTCAGGGCTAAGTCCCTTACTGCAAATGTGTTAGCTCTAACATCTCCCACAAGCTAGAGGAACTTGCGAGTATATTAACAAGGACACATCTGACATCCTGTATTTGGTTAGAATATACAGCACATTGTGATAACAAAGTGGATTCATCTTGTATCATTATAGGCAGAAGGTATTTGGCAAATTTTTATGTATTGTTTTATGTACTGTACAAGTAACTTATTCTTGAATAATGCAAATTTTGCTATAATGTACAAATTGCTATATGTGAATTAAAAAGTTTTCAGAATCTTGATTTGCTGTCACAATATTTAAAGGCTCAATTAAGACCATGGTCTCTCTACAAAACCCTTGCCCTGCCCAAATACTTGCTCTTCCCTTTGTCCTCCCCACTGCAATCTGGGAATATTAACAAATGCTTATGAGTCCATCTATGTCAATGCCCTCTGGATTTCTTTATTGCATTTTTTTTCTGAGTGTCTCCTGCCCCCTACTGGTAAAATAGGAAAATGCCTGAATTGGGAACTTCCAGCTAATGACACTCATTTTGGTTCAGGAGATATTAAAAAGGAAGCTTACAGAATTGGTGCCAGCTCGAGGATGTGGAATTTCAGTGCTGCCCAACTCTGGCCAACCTTCCTCCTCCTGAAGCAGATCTCTAATCCACCAAAGAGAATAGCTCAGTCTTGTCTTTTTCTAGAGACACCTTGAACCAGAACTAAAGGTGAAGAAGAAAAATCATTTGACAGCTACCTTCCGGGATATTAAAAACACACCCTTAGCGCACCTGCTTTGATATTAAGTATCCTACAGTAGAAGTAGCTTATACAGACACACACTAACTTGATCAGTTTTTAAAACTTTTTTTATTTTTTAAATTTTTTTAAAGTTTTTATTTTATATTATCTACAAAGTAAAAGTTTTTCCCTTAACTTAAAAGTTGAACCACTGTAGACAGTGATCACCTCATCAAACTTGATTTATAAATAATAATCCGTCAGTTTGACGGTAAGAATTTACTGAACCTTTGTCAAGTTTAGTAAAAGGGCGTTCCAAGTCTTGATTTTTTTTTTTTTTTTTTTTAAGCAGTAATAGCAGCAAGAATCACTCTTGTTACTTCTTTTGCTAGCTGATGTGTTCATGACTTTCAAGGGTTATTAAAAAATAAATAACTTCCAGTTTCGGCAAGCAGAGCTGGGGTACCTGTGGGACTCTGAAACAGCGTATGGAATTATGGAATAGCCCCCAAGTTCCTAAATGCCTCTACTCGGTCCAAATATCTTCCACTGCAAGTGAACTGTTAGCATTCCTATTGGATGTTACAAGAAATCAACATATATATTTTAAAAACAAAATAAATGAAATTCTAGTTTTCTGTGCTTCCAGTTGGTAGAAGCAGTAGAAGGGAGGAGGGAATTTGGCCTTTCGTTTCCTCCAGGGCAGCCTTACAACTGCTGTTGGTGGTGGGCTTGTACTGTAAAAAGAAAAGCGAACATTGAAACAGAAAACTGGCAACACTACACATCAGCCTAGTGTCTCTGCAGCACATGATTGTAAACTATCCTCGTGCTAGCTGAACAAGACTCAAAATTGAATTCGCTTTCCCCCCTCCCATCTGCACCAAAGTGGGGAGGGTTGGGTGGGTGGGTAGAAACAAACCAGTCAGACGTAAAACCACTTCAGGTAAAACTCCCAGAAGACTTGTTCATGGGTTAGAAAAAAAGGCCTTAACAAACCCCCTCCCCAAATATTAGCCAAGCACCAGTACTGCTTTCAGAATAACAGGTCAGACTGTGAAGTATCGCCATGGCAGCCATCAAGTAGTAGAGCACAATCACAGGGCGCTCTCCCCTGGTCAGGGCATAGGCTGGGGCTAACGCTACACTCAAAGCCAGTCCATCCACAGCGCTTTCTCAGCAGTATCTTCTCCAGAGCTACAATCAAACTCTGCCATGGTAATAACCCCCCACATGTCAGACTTTTGGGACTCAGGAAGGAAAACACTGCCCTGTCCAACCTATCATAACAAGGAAGGCCAACTGAGTCCTAGGCATGCATCAGCTACACAGAATGCTGCTGCTGCTGCTTCTCATCAAGCCAAATCCTGTATACCATCAGAACACACACAGACTCGGCTCCCGGAAGCCTCAGGCCCTGATGCTAAACTGATCGTCACAGTCCCTCCTGTGCACACTCCTGGATGGGTCTTGCTAGTTCTCAAATGTGGGCTTGAAGCACTGGCCCTGCCTGCCATTCCACCTGTGCGAGCAGAATGCTTTGGGGTGCCCCGGCGGCCCCTGCACACACACGCCTCACCTGAAGGGTGCGTCATATAGGGGAAATGCGCAGTTGTCGAGACTGGAATGGGCTGTAGTGCACTTTGAGCGAGGGCGGCCTGGGGACCGCCGGGTGGCTGTGTCGTCATTAGCATCATTGGCGCATGGGCAGTTGGATGAGAAGGAACCATTCCTGACTGTACATGAGCCTGAAACAGAGAGCTCTTTTACGCATACAGGCAACATCTCCGGCTTCAACAACATGTCAACTGTGTTCCTTTCACTGGGCTGGGACTCTCAGGAAAGGGCAATGGTGGGCCTCAGGGCCCAGTTCTGTTCTCTGGGGACAGTCTCTAGTAGATTATCTGTTGACCTGAAGATGTGCTTCACCTTTGGGTAGATCCTGCAAGGAAGGGTCAGGGAGCAGGCACCAAGTGAGCCTAGGTAGAAGTCAGGGCTGTGCTGTCCTAGCCCTTGACATTTCTGATCATTGTATTCTACATATGGGGTAAGATCTTCACAAAGATTAGACACCGGATCCAAGGGTAGCTTTCTCAACTTAATATCATACAAGATTCAATGATGCTTCAGAATCAGGCTGCCATGTGGGGCCTGAGGCAATTTTGCAGATAACATCCCTTTCAAACAGGAAAGCAGATTACTACATTAATAAGCAGAGACTGTCACAGTCCAGTATGTGAATTACTTGGACCTCTGTTCATTTGCCTCTCTCCCTCTGCTTCTGGCCTGCTCACCAGGCAGTGAAAAGAGACTCTTAGGCCCCCGTGACTCTCTGAGAGATATGCTGATGGAGCAGGAGGAGTTGGAGTTTTTAATGGCTCCAGTGAGATGGAAAGGAGTAACCTGGAAGATCTGGGCCAGCCCAGTGTCTCTGTACCAAGTTCAACCTGGTCTCACTCACTGTCAAATTGGAAAGGTGATTTTAGTCAGCCCAAACTAGCTGGATTCCAGCTCTGCAGGGGGTTGGCAGGGCCAGGAAGAGCCCTTGTTTCCTTTTTCCCACACTGTGCACTATTCTAGATTATGATGAGCCTTGGATGAAATGCTGTTTTTACTCTCACGTATTCAAATGGGTACATGGCATATTTGAGCTTCCCTGTGTTAACCTTTTTGCCCTTTCAGCACAAAAACACAGTGAGGTATTAGGGATCCCTGACTTACATGTAAGTTCACATGCCTACTTAGCCACCAGCCTCTGCTAGACACCTACAGGACCCCAGCTCTTATGAAGCTGACTCCACCAAACCACGCTGGCCGCCACGGACCAAACCGGCTTCCCTCCCCACTATCAAAAAGCAAATCAACTGCAGTGCGCTACACCACAGAACCTAAACTTTGCAGGGTGAGGACGCCCAAACTTCCCAGAGCTGTGGAACTCTACTTACAAGGTAGCCTTCTGAGAGATAGATCCAACTGAGTCGCATCTCTAGCCCACACCTTGCCAGAGCCTCACTGGCGCACTATTTAACAGGAAATGGAATTCATTGTGGCAGGTCTCACTTAGACCCGCCTCAGAGAGTTCTGTTATGAAGTAGCAGAGACATCTAATACAGCCAATTCACCCGTAACAGCCCCAGGGAGGGCCTCAAGGCCAGCGTTAGAGCCCAACTTCAGTGCAGCTCCTTCTCCTCATTAAGACAATCCCCTGGGCCCTGGAGTGCAGGGACCTTGTCAGCAGCTGATGCAAACAGCAACCACGGAGATGGCAAGCACACCTTTCACCTGGAGCAGCTGACACTGGAGGTGAGCTCCCAAGTGCTTCCAGGGCTGCTCTTCAAGAAAAATGGGACCACCTGGGTGCTTCCAGCTTCTAGTTACACTGCACCAATGTCCAAGGCCAAGCCCTCTCAAGAGTACAACTTATGGTCAAAGCAGATATATGAATAACCAGGGAAAACAATTGGAGAGATGTGTCTGGAACTCATGTGAGTAACAATCAAGTTGACAGGCCCCAGTAGTCACCTCGGAGAGCTGAGACTCTGTGAAGGCCATCATCCCCGCCTGGCTTCCGAGATAAGTGTGTAGAGGGGGATATATATATACACATATATAGAGTAGTGAGGCTATATAGACGTAGCAAAGCAGACACAGAAAGGAAAGAAGGACTGGGTTGCATTCCAGAGTCAAAGATATTTTTAAGGTCTCAGTTGGAAAACTAAAGGACTGACCAATCAGCACCTTCACTGATCCCATGACAAAACCACACAAACATTCCCTTAGGGCCAGATCACGTGTATTTGAGCGGGAAAGGGAGACAGGCAAATGGCATGACACACAGGGTTTCCTAGCTGGGAGAGCCTCTCGCTGCTTACTGATAACCTTCACATTCTACCTGGCCTTCACAGAAAGTTGGCTAAAGCTGGTTTACCTGAGGTACGTGGGCCATGTGGGGTGGGTTGGTATACGCCGGCTGAACGTGAGAAGGATGGATCGTAAAGACGGTCTGTTGTGCTGCTGGGAAACTATTCTGTGGCGACTGCGTGTTGGAGGCAGGTGTCATGGAGGGTGGAGTTGGTGCAAGCCCCGCGTGGTAAATGGCTGACTGCTGCTGTGGACTGGCCAGATGGAGAGCCTGGGCGGCCTGGTGCTGATGGTGCTGCAAAGCGACAGGAAAGAATTGAGAGGAAAACTTCTTTAATGAAAAGCAGCCAAGGGATACTCACAAAGCTGAGCTTTGCACACGTGGGCCTATGATGAGGGGCAACGGAAAGTACAGGGGAATGTACAGGATGGTAAGAGCAAGGCTGGAGGTGCCTCCCATCTGGACATTCCTTTCTGGGGTGCAGAAGCCTGATTCTCGGCCTGGCAGTTAGAAGCTTCTGAGCATACTAAAGTTAAACAAGACTACTGCCCCAGGGAACTGACAAATATCAAAGTCTTTACCTCCATTAGCAAACATAATTCAAGAAGCTCATAGGAAAATAACCTCATCACATAAACCTTAATTAAAATTTAAAAGTCCCAAGCAAATAGGAATTTGCCTTATGAACCTTATGCTAAATTTGATTTTTCATTAACGCAAGTTTCCAGAGCTTATCCTATCACCTATTATCAATATGTATCTTAAATGTGATTCTTAAAAAAAGCAACCACCCCAGGGGCACAGCTGTATCCATCTTCATGAGAGTGGACATGCCATGTGTTCTGACGATGCAATACCTGGCACCTGAAGAAAGCACTCAGATACTAGGATGAGGAAGCCACTCCATGCAGACCTCTGAGTTGCCCTTACCTGAACAGGGCTGGGTGCAGGATGACTTCCACCATGTTGGCTTTGCTGCTGTCCAGTGGGGGTAGCTGAAGGCTGAGGGTGTGGAGTATGTGGGTGCAGGGTAGCGTTAGGGTGCGCATACTGCTGAGCAAGGGAGCCCGTGGAAACTAAAGTGAAAGAAAAAGGAGCATGTACACACCGATGTGTGACAACCTGCATCGCTCCTCTACACTTCATCAACTGAACTTTCTTGATGGTTACAATGCATAACTCACGCCACTACCAATTTCTATAGGTGACTCCATTTAAATCATCCATTGTCTTGAAAAAATAAGTGTAGCTATTGCTTAACAGACTAGCATTTGGTTCATATAATACAGCTCTACATATGATATTAAAATCAAATTAGTTTGCTTTTACTCTGAACAGTCACTAGGTTTTCCCAAAAACACAACTTGAAGGCACAGGCAGAAACTACTCAAACAAGTGCATTTTAGGCGCACACTCTTTAGCTCAAGGCCATTATCTGGCTAACCTCACCATGCTACTGCCCTGGAGCAATGTCCTGAGGGCACAGACTGCATTGGGTGTGGTGGTGGTGGGGGGGGTGTGGGCACTGTGTATGGTATGTGGCAGGGCCAGGGATCTATCATCAGGGCCGAAGGCCCACAATCTCTCTCAGCTAATCACAGCAGCCCCTCTGCCATTCAGTTTACTTCCCAGGCCCTTAATGGAGGATCTCCCACCTTTGCTTTATAAAATATAGAAAAGTAAACTCCCTTCTGAGTGCCTCAGCCCTTTAGAAAGAAATTTATTAGAGTAACTTCAAAGGACAACATGATGGGCCAGTTTAAGTCAAAATAAAGATAAGAACTGAAAGCCAATTCTTTGTGAATCGCAGCATGGGCCAAACCTTGGTACAAAAACCATTTCTTCATGTCTTTCATTTTTTTTTTTTTTTTTTTTTTTTTTGAGATATGAGTCTCACTCACTCTGTTGCCCAGGCTCACTGCAAACTCTGCCTTCCAGGTTTAAGCAATTCTCCTGTCTCAGCCTCCCGAGTAGCTGAGATTACAGGCATGCCACACCACACCTGGCTAATTTTTGTATTTTTGTTTTTTTTTTTTTTTTTTGGAGACGGAGTCTTGCTCTGTTGCCCAGGCTGGAGTGCAGTGGCGCGATATCGGCTCACTGCAAGCTCCGCCTCCCGGGTTCCCGCCATTCTCCTGCCTCAGCCTCCCGAGTAGCTGGGACTACAGGCGCCTGCCACCGCGCCCGGCTAATTTTTTGTATTTTTAGTAGAGACGGGGTTTCACTGTGTTAGCCAGGATGGTCTTGATCTCCTGACCTTGTGATCCACCCGCCTCAGCCTCCCAAAGTGCTGGGATAACAGGCGTGAGCCACTGCGCCTGGCTAATTTTTGTATTTTTAGTAGAGATGGGGTTTTGCCATGTTGGCCAGACTGATCTCAAACTCCTGACCTCAAGTGATCCGCCCACCTCAGCCTCCCAAAGTGCTGGGATTACAGACGTGAGCCACCGTGTCCGGCCTGTTCATGTGTTTCAAAAACAGTAAGTGGAGAATCAGAAGCAGAGTAGGATGTGTTCACTGCTTCCAGTGACTATGGACAGCACACTGATGATACAAAACTAACCTCCATGTGGCAATGAGCTGAGAACAGAGCGTTCTCAAGACAACTCTAGCAAGGCATAGTTCCCAGCCCTCTCTTGAGAAATGAATCCTAAAATCCCTCAAGATAATAAGCTCATACACAGAAATGATTCCAAAATAGTTTCCCACATTCTTCATATAACGTGTTAGCGAACACAGACATATGCAGGACTGATTGGGGAGAGAAGCAAGCACAGCTTTGGGACCAGGCACCCTAGCTCCAGCAGTCTGGTAAGCAAGGCTGCCGAGTCACCAGCATAGATGACTAGATGACTCTGGGTATATCCCATGTAAATGGTGTGCAGAGGGTTAGGCAAGGCACATGGAGCAGTTCTATAATGCTAGGTGTTGTAGGACTAAGGGCCACCAACTCTCCAGCCCAGTTATATCTCGAGATGCAAAGCCATCTCTTAGTAGAGGAAAGGGCAAGGCAAAGAGCCAGTTCTAGGATCACCTGTGCATCCACTGCCAATGCCATAGCTGGCATTAATATTCCTTCATACCCAGTTTAGACTGGACACAGCAGCTTTGTTTATACACTGGGAAAATTTTCCAGACTGTAGGAATTAACATATGCCAGAACATTTTAACAAGAAAACTGTGGCAACATATTCTCTGAATGTTTTTAAGGGTAGTGAATGTCTTCTGGGAGCTAGAACAAACGTACAAACGATGAACAATTCTGAGCTTCAGTCTCATGAGTCTATGAAGACAGTCCTTTTTTTCTAACTTGCTGGCTTATTAACAGGCCCTCCATCATCATCATACTCATTAAGTTTACTTCCAGCTCCCCCAAGTTGTACAGGCACTGACTTGGTCTAAAAGATTGGATGTAAATTTCGAACCCGAGTTTGTTGTTTGTTTTTGTAAAAATCTTACGTTCATCTTAAAAATGTATGTATTTATTTATTTAAATTTTTGACAGGGTCTCACTCTGTTGCCCAGGCTGGAGTGCAGTGGCGCCATCTTGGCTCACTGCAACCTCCGTCTTCCAGGTTCAAGCGATTCTCCTGCCTTGGCCTCCCGAGTAGCTGGGACTATAGTCAAGCATCACCATGCCTGGCTGATTTTTGTATTTTTAGTAAAGATGGGTTTTGCCATGTTGGCCAGGCTGGTCTCGAACTACTGGACTCAAGTGATCCACCTGCCTCGGCCTCCCAAAGTGCTGGGATTATAGGCATGAGCCACTGTGCCTGGCCCTGTTTGTTTATTTTTGAGACCCAGTCTTGCTGTCACCCAGGCTGGAGTGCAGTGGCGCAATCTTGGCTCACTACAGCCTCCGTCTCCTGGGTTAAAGTGATTCTCCTGCCTCAGCCTCCGAGTAGCTGGGATTACCTGGCTAATTTTTGTATTTTTAGTAGAGACGGGGTTTCACCATGTTGGTCAGGCTGGTCTCGAACTCCTGGCCTCAAGTGATCCGCCCACCTCGGCCTCCCGAAGTTTTAGGATTACAGGCATGAGCAACTGCACCCAGCCTAAAAATTGATCTTTGAATAATAAAAAAGCCCCTTGTAGCTAAGCAGCTACTACAGTAGACAGCGCAGTTTTGTTGTTGTTTTGAGATGGAGTCTCGCGCTCTGTTGCCCAGGGTGGAGTACAGTGGCGTGATATCAGCTCACTGCAACCTCCACCTCCTGGGTTCAAGTGATTCTCCTGTGTCAGCCTCCTGAGTAGCTGGGACCAAATGCGCGCCTGGCTAACTTTTTTTGTATTTTTAGTAGAGACGGGGTTTCACCATGTTGGTCAGGCTGGTCTTGAACTCCTGACCTCAGGTGATCCACTCATCTTGGCCTCCCAAAGTGCTGGGATTACAGACGTGAGCCACCGCACCTTGCCACCAAAAGTTCTATTGGATAGTGATGTCTACAGTTGTCCATGGTCCCCTACTGTTAAACCATTAGCACTAACCCCTACCCCCAACCCAGCCTCTTAAAAATGTCATTTGTAGCAATACTAAATCTGTCTAAGGAAAAGCAATTCCCAAATCCCAAATTCTGTTCATGGTGGTTCATAAAGATATAGTACAGAATCTCAGAGGGTTTTTTTTTTAACTTTATTCAAGAAATTTTGTACTAAAAAGTTGTAAATTTCACGTTTAATTACCTTCTAAGCAAAGTACTAAGAATATTAAAAAGTAACAATAAATATAGAAAATAATTATGCCCATGAAGTCTCATAATTAAGTTATTCATCAACTGGAAAAATGTAAAAATCTTGAAATCATTTGAAGAGAAAAGTAAAGATGAAATATTTTTACTATGCATTTTTAAAAGGCATCTCTGCAATTTAAGTTTACCAGTATTTAAAGACTATAATACAGTGTTCTGATCTATAGCTAATCTGCATGCATAGCACAAATACTCAAGCTGAGTGAATGCACATAGGCTTTGTTTAAAAAAACAAAAAACAAAATCCTTTCCCTACCTAAATACCAGTAAACTGCAAGGCATTGATTAAAAACAAGACGAACAAAAATCACAAAGGATGTGTAAAATATGTATCACATATTGCAAACAAAATTTAAAAAGTTAATTAGAAATATTTCCCTTCTCAGCATTTTGGTAGGCCGAGGTGGGAGGATCACCTGAGGCGAGGAGATCGAGACCAGCTTGGCCAACAGGGGGAAATCCCGTCTCTACTAAAAATACAAAAATTAGCTGGGCATGGTGGCGGCGCCTGTAATCACAGATACTTGGGAGAGTGAGGCAGGAGAATAGCTTGAACCCGGGAGGCGGAGATTGCAGTGAACTGAGATCACGCCATTGCACTCCAGCTTGGGCAACAAGAGTGAAACTCCGTCTCAAACAAACAAACAAACAAATAAATAAATAAATAATAATAATAAATTGGGAGAAATGTGAAACTTATACTTTAAATCAATACTCATAACAAAAATACAGTTCGGCTCCTTGATAGGCCAGTTAAGTAAGAGTGATACAAAGTGGGGTAGGAAGAAAATATAAGTCAATGAAAAAAATAGCTTGGAAGACAAGAGAGACAAGAAAGGAACTGGAGGCCAAGGCGGGTGATCACAAGGTCAGGAGTTCAAGACCAGCCTGGCCAAGATGGTGAAACCCTGTCTCTATTTAAAATACAAAAAAATTAGCTGGACGTGGTGGCAGGCGCCTGTAATCCCAGCTACTCTGGAAGCTGAGGCAGAGAATTGCTTGAACCCAGGAGGCGGAGGTTGCAGTGAGCCGAGACTGCGCGACTGCACTCCAGCCTGGATGACAGAGTGAGACTCCATCTCAAAAAAATAATAATAATAATAAAAGGAACCAAGATAAGGTAAACAAGGAAAAAACACAGGAGAGTCAGGGAAAAGGAGAGTGCAGCGGGAAGGGCCGTGGGTTCTGACCCATGCATATTATTTCACTGCTTTTGTTATACATGCTCATTCTGGCTAAAGATCCCAGAGATGTTAAAAATAAAGTGAATTTTCTTTGTAATTCTGATTTATTCATCAGTTAAACTTCTATTTATAAAACTTAAGAAGTCTTCATAAAGTCTTTTGGATTAAAGATAATCAAAGACATATGCTTCTTTGGTCCAGACATAGTCCAGAAGTTTCCCACTCAGTGTTCCTTGACATAAATATTTAAGATTCTAAATATATGATCAGTCAAAAATCCTTAATAACACTAACCACATTCCAGAACTAGTTTCCTCAGCTGTGATCTCACTGAAGCAAATTCAGTACATAAAGCTGTGTGTTTAATTTGTTACTAGGTTTTGTCATTTTGACTTTGGATGCACAAGTCATAAGAGATCACCAGCACTGCTAAACTTTAAAAATAAAACAAAATCTTCCAACTTGTAAATTTGATGTTAAATTCAGAAAAAGGGAAGTGAAGGAAAGCTGAAAACTCCAAAAGGGGAATAAAAGGCAACTTGACCAAACCATCACAAAATGGCTTAGAACAGGGGAAAATGAAGCAGCAAATTAAATTAGCAGCCCAACTGTTAGTTTCTTTTAAAAAGTACTGATACTCCCTTTTAAGGGAAGTTGTGCTAAGGCAATTAAGGCTTAGGTGTAATGATTAAGGACCTTTCAGCTACTTACCAGGAAAACGACACCAAACTACTAACAGAAACAGTAAGATGGTGAGGATAACTACATTTGAGACCTCAAATTGAGTACATAATAAAATCACTGATTGACACTACCTTTTACACACTACAATCACAGACATAGTTTCCCCTTTAATAGTATATACATGGCCGGGCGCGGTGGCTCACGCCTGTAATCCCAGCACTTTGGGAGGCCGAGGCGGGCGGATCACAAGGTCAGGAGATCGAGATCACGGTGAAACCCCGTCTCTACTAAAAATACAAAAAATTAGCCGGGCGCGGTTGTGGGCGCCTGTAGTCCCAGCTACTCGGGAGGCTGAGGCAGGAGAATGGCGTGAACCCGGGAGGCGGAGCTTGCAGTGAGCCGAGATTGCGCCACTGCACTCCAGCCTGGGCGACAGAGCGAGACTCCGTCTCAAAAAAAAAAAAAAAAAAAAAAAAATAGTATATACATACAGCAAGACTCCTTTTTAAAGAGCATCTATTAAAGGATTAAATTTAACATTTCCTAGCACCAAATAAATAATATATATATATGCACACATATACATATGTATGTATGTATGTATCAGTTTATTTTTGGATACCAAGTCATGGTATAATTAACAAAGATTTAAGGTCAAATGCATTTTAAATGCTAATATGGCATTTAGTAGAGTCAGACATTGAGTCACCCCAAAAAACTCAAAATGTTGTACCTAACATAAAATCTGAATCCTTAATATCCTCTAGAATACAATATTTCATACAAGGTGACAATATTAATGGCACAAATTTCTAAAAGATTTCTACAAATATTAGTACTCTTTCTATTTAAATACCAAAGTCCAAGAGACTAGCCTTATTTTTATTTTTATTTTTTTGAGACAGAGTCTCTCTCTGTTGCCCAGGCCTGAGTGCAGTAATGCCATCTTGGCTCACTGCAACCTCCACCTCCAGGGTTCATGGAAATCTTGTGCCTCAGCCTCCCAAGTAGCTGGGACTGCAGGTGCGCGCCACCATGCTTTTGGTAGAGATATTGTTTCACCATGTTGGCCAGGCTGTTCTCGAACTCCTGGCCTCAAGTGATCCACCCACCTCGGCCTCCCAAAGTGCTGGGATTACAGGCGTGAGCCACCGCATCCGGCCCTTATTTTTACAAATTGCCCTACCAATAGGAAAAATGTACCTTACAAGTTCATTTCCAAAAGAAAGCTCTGCCCAGACTTTCTCCATGAAGGAGCAACCATTTCTGTACTTTTTGCCAGGTGGGGAGAGGGGACCCGTGCTGTCCAAGATAATGACCTGAGAGGTCATGATCTCTTGTGCTTAAGAGTTCAAGACATCCTGAGGGGTCTGCTTCCTGAATATTTTATTTTTTGAGACAGAGTCTCGTTCTGCCACCCAGGTTGGACTGGAGTGGCATGACCTCGGCTCACTGCAACCTCTGCCTCCAGAGTTCAAGCAATTCTCCTGCCTCAGCCTCCCGAGTAGCTGGGATTACAGGCACATGCCACTACACACAGCTGATTTTTGCATTTTTTAGTAGAGATGGAGTTTTACCATGTTGGCTAGGCTGGTGTTGAACTCCTGACCTCAGATGATCCACCAGCCTCAGCCTCCCAAAGCGCTGGGATTACAGGTGTGAGCCACCGTGCCCGGCCCTTCCTGAATATTTAAAACCTTTAGCCATGCACAGGACTGAAAAGTTTTTCCCTTAGTATTTCATCAATCCTATTCAATTAAAAATCCTGGTAGGCATAAATTTCTTCTTATCAGAATATAAACAAACATTTTAAGTTTATACTAAGCTTGTGGCTTGGGGTGTGTGTGTGTGTGTATATGTGCGTGCATGTATAAAGCTGTTTAGGAAAAGTTTCTCTGAACAAGGAAATTATTAGGCATTTCCCAGTCACATTTGCTTGGTATGCAAAAATTGATTTCTGAAACAACTCCATTTTTCATTAACTCCAGCCTTCTTACTAAACTGCATTATATTTCCATTTTAAAAACTGAATTATTTACAGATATAAATACTTTCAATAATTTGACTGGCACAAGGAAAATACTGTTCAACAAGTCTACACCCTTAACATGTATTCTTTAAAAAGTGTTTTACTGTACAATTAAAAATTAGTATAAAAAACCCAACTCACTGGCAAAGTAGAAAGAAGGGCTTGTCTCCTTGTTGTATGGTAATTTGGGACATGCTGAATTTGGGAAATAGAAAGGTAAATTAGCCTTTTGAGGTGTGCATTTTCCGAATTTTCTGGAAAGGTTGACATATTAGTAATTTCTTTTTGTATTCATGCATAATTATTTTTATAAGAGATGACAAGCACTTTAAACATTGTTACAGAATTTTAAAAGAAAGAACTAAACCGGAAGACACTGTTCTTCTGTACTTAGCTTAGGTGTCAAGTTATCATGCTGACTTGCTTAAAAGTGAAAGGAATAAAATAATTATCTAATAAAAAGACCAACATGGCATTCTACTGAACAACCTTGATATAAATCATGTACCAAAATGAAACAATATTTACCAAGTTTAATTCAATAGACACACAATTTTGCAAAACATTACTAATGGAGATGTCATTATCCTGATAGATCATCTAGCAATGGATCCAAAACTTTAGGAACATTGCAAAAATATAAACATGAATATTATCATTTCTTATTAAAACATGTCTGCATAGAGGGATAGGGCATATGAGTGAATTTAAATACACCTGGAAGGATACACACAAAATGTTAAAAGGCAGTTGTCAGGTGGAGGGATTATGGATGCTTTTCACTTTTTTTTTTTTTACTTACTGTATTTTCTTACTTATCTTACTAATCTACATTAAACTACCAAAAACAAACCAAAACAGGATTCTGGATCTAACTCTTCCTAATGGCCCTAGTTAGAAAAGTTTATTACTCTTTCTGAAAGGTCAAAGCATCACCATAAAACAAAATTAGATGAATTAGAGGAGTAGATGTGAGGCTGGGCGTGGTGGCTCACATCTGTAATCCCAGGACTTTGGGAGGCCCAGGCAGACAAATCACGAGGTCAAAAGTTCGAGACCAGCCTGGCCAAGATGGTGAAACCCCGTCTCTACTAAAAATACAAAAATTGGCCGGTTGTGGTGGCACACACCTGTAGTCCCAGCTACTTGGGAGGCTGAGGCAGAAAAGTCACTTGAACCTGGGAGGCAGAGGTTGCAGTGAGCCAAGATCATGCCACTGTACTCCAGAATGGGCGACAGAGTGAAACTGCCTTAAAAAAAAAAAAAAAAAAAAAAAGAATAGATGTGATAGGAAAAAAAAAAAAAATTAAAGTAACTTCTTAGAAGGGATGGGGTAGAGGCAATGATGAAAGTTAGATTAAGAGACATCAAAGAGGCCAGGCGCAGTGGCTCACACCTGTAATCCCAGCACTTTGGGAGGCTGAGGTGGGTGGATCACCTGAGGTCGAGAGTTCAACACCAGCCTGACCAACATGGTGAAACCCGATCACTACTAAAAATATAAAAATTAGCCAGGCATGGTGGCAGGCACCTGTAGTCCCAGCTACTCAGGAGGCTGAGGCAGGAGAATTGCTTGAACCCAGAAGGCAGAGGTTGCGGTGAGCCAAGATTGCGCCATTGCACTCCAGCCTGGGCGACAGAGTGAGACTCTGTCTCAAAAAGGAAAAAAAGAAAAAGAAAAGGAAAAAAAAAATAATAAGAGGCTGGGCACGGTGGCTCACGCCTGTAATCCCAGCACTTTGGGAGGCCGAGGCTGATGGATCACGAGGTCAGGAGATCAAGACCATCCTGGCTAACACAGTGAAACCCGATCTCTACTAAACAAAATACAAAAAATTAGCCGGGCACAGTGGCGGGCACCTGTAGTCCCAACTACTTGGGAGGCTGAGGCAGGAGAATGGCGTTAACCCAGGAGGTGGAGCCTGCAGTGAGCCAAGATGGTGCCACCACACTCCAGCTTGGGCGACAGGGCAAGACTCCATCTCAAAACAAAACAAAACAAAACAAAACAAAACAAAAGACATCAAAGAGATGAGGTTTTTGACAAAAGCCCTTTCTAAGATAGCTAGAAAGAGTACAAGGTCAATAATTTTTTAGAATGTAATAAATAACTCTCCTATTTGATCAATTTAACTGTTTAGTAATGTTAGCATATTTGTATTAAACATACTAAAAATTTAAAAACAATAATCAGGATTTCATTTTGCAGTCATTAGTGGTCTTATGTTTTCAATGCCTTTGGCTATGGCCATAACAATGAATGAGAAAAGGTGACATAAAATTGTCACCAACATCTGGGTGCACGTTCTGTTTGCATTAAATGTTTTAAAAACCTAGATAGGATGTAGCTTAAAAAAAGCACAATTCATACTCAAAGTATCTGGTTCCTTTGAGAAAATTTATGGCAATATATTTAATATATTTATAAAATATAAATCCTTCAGGGAAGATGAGTATAAAATTAACACTTCTATGTAAGTTTGTTATAGTTTATAAGAATGTACTTCAAATTTTGTTTATATTTGATATAATAAGGCTTTGAAAGTCTAATAATTCAAATAAACCACTGAAGATTTAATGAAGAATGTGCTTAAGCAGATTAAATTATGGCTTATGATGGCATAGAACAAAACAATTCTTTCTGATGTTTTCTTTTTTTAAATAGAGACAGGGTCTTGCTCTGTCACCCAGGCTGCATTACAGTGGTGCCATCACAGCTCACTGTAGCCTCAAAGTCCTGGGCTCAAGTGATCCTCCCATCTCAGCTTCCCGGGTAGGCAGGACTACAGGCACATGCCACCATGACTAGACTTTTTCTTTTTTTTTTTTTTTTTGGTAGAGATGGGATCTCCCCATCTTGCTGAGACTGGTCTTGAACACCAGGGCTAAGCGATCCTCCACTTCAGCCTCCCCAAGTGCTTGGATTACAGGTGTAAACCACCATGCCCAGCTCCTAGTGTCCTTTTTAGGGTCTTAAGCACCCCAAAGGGAATCTTGATTAACTAGTGATAATCACAATAAATCCACACCCTTGCTCCTAGCCTGCCTCCATACAGACAGCAATTAAATACCACCTGTGTAAACTGCAGGAGAGTAGTTCATGTTTGGCTGAGTAACCTTCTCCTGGCATGAAATAACTGGTTCTAATGACTAGTTCGTTCCAGATTTCACTGGACTTTAGATCTAGTGCTGTGTTTTATTTGCAACATTTCCTATTTGCCCACACATAAATGGACTTTGGGGTCTAAGGCCCCACTGCTCTTCAAATGGACATGTTCTGGTAAGTAGTTATGAAAATTATTCGTACCTCAAACACAGTATTTACCCTATAGGCTGTTTCAAAATAAATGAACATTCATCCAAAAGATGAAGCCAGATGTTGGCAGTGAATGAACACATGGGAAGAAAGATTCTGCTTAACATTACAGTATTATTGCTACAATGTCTCAAAAGCATTGGTACACAAATATCTACTCTCCAAATGCAATGGAAATTTTAGCTCAAAAGTTTCACATCTGATTCCAAGGGGAGCATGCCAAAAAATGGAAGGAAAGAGATGTTTTTCCACTTGTTAAATCATGATGTATTCACCAGAAATGTACAAACAATCATAATGAACTTTTAACCTAGGCCTTTAGCAAACTGGAAAATTGTTAAAATATATACAAGTTGCATAAAAGCCAGCATGATGAATCAATCGTGCCTTTTCACGCATATGAAGTCCTGGTTAAGACAACTAAAGACAAGTCAAATGACATGGAGTCATAACCAAAATAATAAACCAAGTCAGTTTGTCAGTATCTTTTACAATTAAATTACGGATGGGCTTCTTGAAAAAAATGTTTTCCAAAATGTAGCAATCACACAATTTTTTATTTAAAATGTAAAATCCACAATAAAAAGTTGAAGGTGATAATGTGGGAAATTAAGACTGGGCTTAAGTTTTATAAAACTAAACACCTTTGATGATGTACAAATTCCTATCAGCAGTGAGTCTTTATGACAGACAAGAACCTCCAGGAAGAAAGCATAAGCTGTGGGTTACAGGTAATAGGAAGGATGACTGCTGCTGCCCAAGTCCTATTCTCATTAACCAACAGAATGTTAAAACTTTTAACACTCTGTTAAAAAGGACAGAGGTGATATGAAAAGTAGTAATGTCTCAAGAAGAGGGTTTGCCAGAAATCTGTAAATTCTTTTTTTTTTTTTTTTTTGAGATGGAGTCTCACTCTGTCGCTCAGGCTGGAGTGCAGTGGCGCAATCTCGGCTCACTGCAACCTCCACCTCCTGGGGTCAAGCAATTCTCCTGCCTCAGCCTCCCAAGTAGCTGGGATTACAGACACCTGCCACCACACCCAGCTAATTTTTGTATTTTTAGTAGAGACGGGGTTTCACCATGTTGGCCAGGCTGGTCTCGATCTCCTGACCTCATGACCCACCCGCCTTGGCCTCCCAAAGTGCTGGGATTACAGTCATGAGCCACTGTGCCCAGCCTGTAAATTCTTAAATAACTCAGTTTTGCCTGGACATACTTGTTCAGGACATCTAAACTTAAAAAATAAAAATTTTATATTCTTAGTATTTCAAAAAGTTTAAAAGAGGTTTTAAAAATGAAATGTCAATGTAGCTGCATGTAACTGTAATCTCATTCTCATAGCAGTACACTTTTCAACTGTACAAATAAACCAAAATTATCCCCTACTCCAAAAAACCAAAAATGCAAATAGGAAAACTAAATGACACTACAGTTCTCAGAAATATTCAGAACAAAACATCTTAATGAAATCAGTACTATTTAAAAGCATATTCTGAAAAACATTTGAAGCAATCCATTAATTCTATATCATAAGATATACAAGTGGACATTTAATTTTAAATTATCAACAGTGAAAAATCTGTTATTTTGGTACTTTAGACAGCTGCTAAGTTGATCTACACAAATTTTTCTGTTTAGTCACAAAATGAAGATGGGTTTTTGCTTATTACTGTCACATATAAATACTGCTTAGTTTTACATAAAATACTTCTCATTTTCATTTCAGCATTCTGTTTACATTGGTTATAAAGTGTGAATCATGTCTAAAATATATCTAATATTACATAATATTCAACCACTTAAAATACAGCATGATGTAGAAACATAGCATTATCATTATAACAAACAGCAAAAACAAACAAACAAAAAAACGAATGCCCGTGACCCACAGATCAAGTAGTGAAGCAGAATGTTTTCATGCTGAAAACGCTTTTATGCTTTTATTATTATAAAATTCTCTTGCACGTCATAGGATATACCAAAGCATAATACTGATGAGGAAGAGGAGAAAGGTACCTTTCTCCACAAAGATGCTTTGCCATTATAAACATCATTACATTTTAGTTAAAGCAGGAGAGAGATCTGAAGACCAGGTACAGAAGTAGAAACTATTTGCCAAGACTTATAAAGCAAGTCAGGCAAAGAAACGAGTTCATCTTTTCCTTCAGATTCTTGACCCTCAATGTCATAAAAGGTCAGGTTATTCTTAGAGTATGTTTTCAGAAACTTAAATTAAGAAGAGTCACACACACTGGAAAAGACAAACAAAGTGCTTCCTACCATACATCGCATGCGTCTGCTCATGAGCCCCGTACTGAGTTGCTGAAGAAGACACTAAACCAGGCTGGGCATGTGTTGGTGGTGCCATCATTCTAGCATTACCCTGTATTACAGGACTATAGACATGAGGATGCTGTGTTCAAACAAAAAATAAAGAAAGAACATCAATACTGCAAATAGAGCCAAGCGGACTTTAGTTAAGATTTTTAACTCCATGGTTTCCAGATTTCCAGAAACAACTGTAAACTCTCAAATCTTTCTTGGCTGTTTCCTCTGAACCTGTTACAATGATCAGTAACCTTTGAATATATATTAAAAAGGGTCCCCAAGTCCTTATCTATCTACCCTACCGTCACACAAAAGCAAAAATTATAAAGGAAAATCCCTTTACCATATTAAAAGCTTTTTTAAATGGTACAAAAATTAAGAGTTAGCCCTACCAGCCTTACCTGAGACTGATAATGTGGCACATGCTGAACAAGGGGCTGATTTGGGAACTGCTGAGGACTGTAGGCAACATATTGCGTGGAGTAAGCTGGTGGGGTGGCTGCAATCGGTGGGCCCGCTGCTGACGCTGGATGCATCATGGCACTCTGATGATGCTGGTCTTGCCGCTGTTGGGGCATATTTGGTACTGCAGAAAAAAAAGCAGACTGCCTATTAAACAGTATCTCCACAGCATAATACATGTGTTCACATGGTCTAGGAGGCTCTGAATGATTTGACCCTGCATCTGCGTCTCTGATGCCATCTCATACCACTCCCACTTCTGCCACTCTGGGTTGTCTGCGTATCATGCATGCTAGTCCTCAGCCTCAAACACCAGTTCCCAAATCCCAGCTGGGATAATTCTGCCTCATCCTTCAGGTGTCAGCTTGAAAGCAACTTCCTCAGAGAGACTTTCTCACATGGCCCTCAGACTTGATCAAGTCCCTGGAACAGACTCTTACAGCATTTTGAAATCACTTCTCATATGATATTTTCTGGGACAGGCACTGCATTCATTTTGAGAAAAACGAAAGTATGACCAAAGAGCCAAAACAGATCCAACACTAACTTTCTATCTTCCTCATTTCCTACCACCGAATCCTTGTAACACTTCCCATTCTTTCTCAAACCCAGTATAACACAGCACCATGTAGCATATAGCAGGTTTCTAAATAATAGTTCTTTTAAAAGACTACTCTATGTCTTATCTTAATCCACACAGGTGGTCTGCGTGTAAGGGCCTCTCCCTGTTACAACTCCAGTTAAGAATTCAGCTCAACTGTCGTCTCCAATGTGAGGTTTTTTTCCAGTTCCTCCAGCACAAGCTAGCTACTTTCCATGTGCCTCTTTCCTCACACATTTCTTACAGCACTATTGTCTGTGACCTATTTCTGGTGTGGCATTAACCAAGCCACTTCAGGAAAAGAATTATGGAATGACTGCTTACAAATAGGTATAAGCCACAAAGAATACAGAACTTGTTCATAAAATCCTAAGAACTGATTATATAATTAACTGCAAATTTGTGGCTAAACATTCACTGACTTGCTGAAATTTGGGAGAGGTTGTTACAAATTATTTTATCTATGTAGAAAAGTAAACCTGAAAATTTTTCTACATTTTATCTTGGATGCATGTATTTAAAAAGCACCTCCTTTTGGTAGACAAAAAGCCACTGAAAACTGTCACTTTTATCAAATGAAAGTTTGTTCAATTATGCTCACTAACTGAGCTTAAACTATTCACTATTATTACTTTGTTACTTATTAACTTCCCGTATATTTAAAACAAATTAAAAAGCTAGTCAAGTATACTATGGTGCTATTATTTAGATATCGTGCGTCTCCACCAATTTTCATGTTAAAACATGATCCTCAGGCCAGGTGCAATAGCTCACGCCTATAATCTCTGCACTTTAGGAGGCCAGGGCGAGCGGACTGCTTGAGCTCAGGAGTTTGGGACCAGCCTGGGCAACATGGGGAGACCCTGTCTCCACAAAAAATACAAAAATATTAGCCAGCCGCGGTGCTGTGCATCTATGGTCCCCGCTACTCAGGAGGTTGAGGTGGGAGGAACATTTCGGCCAGGGAGGTAGATGCTGCAGTGAGCCATGATTGCACCATTGCACTCCAGCCTGGGTGAAGAAGTGAGACCCTGTCTCAAAAAAGGGGAGGGGAGGGGACAGGAGGGGAAGAAAAGAAACCAAGTCCTTGACTCTGCCTGTTACTTGAAAAATGTTAAAAATATTTTTATCCAACACCTCAAAGGATTGGAATTTAGTAAAGGAGCAGGGTAAAAACTAACATACAGACAGCAGTAGCCTTCATATGTGGTACTTCATAAGTAATCAGTTAGAAGATGCAATGGAAGAGAAGTCCCTGGGTTACATTAACATTAAAAAAGAACCTACCTAAGGCATACACTGAAAAAAATGTACAAAACCTTAAGGATAAACTTTATTTTTATTTATTTATTTTCTTTGAGACAGAGTCTCGCTTGGTTGCCCAAGCTGAAGTGCAGCGGTGCAATCTTGACTCACTGCAATCTCTGCCTCCTGGGTTCAAGCGATTCTCCTACCTCAGCCTCTGGAGTAGCTGGGACTACAGGGGAGCACCATGCCTGGCTAATACTTGTTTTTGTATTTTTAGTAGAGATGGGGTTTCACCAGGTTGGCCAGGCTGGTCTCGAACTCCTGACCTCAGGTGATCTGCCCACCTCCGCCTCCCAAAGAGTTGGAATTACAGGCGTGAGCCACCGCATACAGCCAAGGATAAACTTTAATATGCTACTGAAGGTATACTTTGTTCTTGAACAGGAAGACTCAACATCATAAAGACATCAATCATTTCTTCTCAAGTTAATTTATAAGTTTATTGTGATTCTGGCCTGCCATGGTGGCTCATGCCTGTAGTCCCACCACTTTGTAAGGCTGATACAGGCAGACTGCTTGAGCTCAGCAGTTCGACACCAGCCTGGGCAACATGGTGAAATTCTGTCTCTATAAAACACACAAAAATTAAGCCGGGCATGGTGGTGCTCGCCTGTAGTCCCAGCTACTTGGGAGGCTGAGGTGGGGAGATTGCCTTAGCTTGGGAAGTGAGGCTGCAGTATGCCCAGATCATCCCACTGCACTCCAGCCTAGGTAACAGAGCGACCTTGTCTCCAAAATATTAAAAAAAAAAAAAAAAATCCCTAAGTTTATACTGACAATAAGAATCAACAACAAAAAAACCCATCTCATTGGTTACCTTTGGAGGACAACAGAAAACCAACTCATTATTTTGAAGACTGCCTTAAAAAGGGAAATGATTAATATTTTAAATTACTCTTCCTCAGGGTAACCAAACAGCTGGATATGGTAAAGTTTTTCTTTATAAAAATATTCCAGGTAATAATTGAAGAAGGAATGAAAGAAAAAGAATGTCACCATTCTGTAACCCCTAAGGAAATAATGGATCTTGGGCTAGACAATTATCATCAATGGCTGCTAAAAGACAACAACAAAAAAAGTAAGGCACTAAAGGGAAATATTATCTCCTGGATAGGTAAAACATCTAGGAACTCATTGGCTACTCCTATCAGGAAAAAGACTGGTTACATTACATGACTCCTCACTGAAAGTACATACATCTGTGAAACACGGGGAAAAAAAAAATCTTATCAAGCCTCCATTATCTACTATCCGTTTACAAAGATTACAGGGGACAGAAGTCTACTTTAAATATCAACACAGGGATACAGTCAGCAAAATTCAGATGGTGGGAAAAAAAATACAAGACAAGTTGGATTGTACAAAGATACGAAGAAGACAAAAACTAAGGGAAAAACTATAATTAAAACTATGAGGGCTGAGTGCAGTGGCTCACGCCTGTAATACTGGCACCTTGGGAGCCAAGGTGAGCAGACTGCTTGAGCTCAGGAATTCAAAACCTTGTCTCTACAAAAAATACAAAAATTAGCCAGGTATGGTGGCATGCACCTTTAGTCCCAGCTACTTGGGAGGATCACCTGAGTCCAATTGGTCGAGACTGCACTGAGCTGAAATCATGCCACTGCACTCCAGCTCAGGTGACAGAGTTAGACTCTGTCTCAAAAAACAAACAAAAAAACCTATCACTTGGCTGGGTGTGATGGCTCATCCAGCACCCCACTAAAGTGCTGGCCTGTAATCCCAGCACTTTAGGAGGCTGAGATAGAAAGATATCTCAAGCCCTGGAGTTTAGGACCAGCCTGGGCAAGATAGCAAGATGGTGAGACTCTGTCTCAAAAAAACAGACAAAAAACAAAGAAGAAGAAAGACAAGACAAGAAAAGCTGGCAAGGTGGCATGTGCCTGTAGTCACAGCTGCTTGAGAGGCTGAGGACGGAGGAGCTCTTGAGACCAGGAATTCGAAGCAGCAGTGAGCTATGATTGCACTACTGCACTCCAAGCCTGGACAACAAAGCGAGACCCCATCTCAAAAACAAAAAACAAAACCAAAACTGACTTCAAGATACACATTAAAATGTTGATGAATAAACGGATGCAATGTCTAGAATTTGCTTCAAAATAATCCAGTGGACATATAGCTTAAGAGACAATGGGTAGAATGAAACATGACTGGCCTAGGTTATTAATGTCTCAAAACGTTCATAATAAAAAGTTACCACAAGGCTGGGAGTGGTGGCTCACGCCTCTAATCCCAGCACTTTGGGAGGCCGAGGCGGGTGGATCATTTGAGGTCAGGAGTTCAAGACCAGGCTGGCCAACATGGTGAAACCCCATCTCTATTAAAAATACAAAAGCTGGGCTACTTGGGAGGCTGAGGCAGGAGAACTGCTTGAACTCCAGAAGAGGAGGTTGCAGTGAGTTGAGATTGTGCCACTGTACTCCAGCCTAGGCGACAGAGCAAGACTCCATCTCAAAAAAAAAAAAAAAAGTTACCACAATATGAAACAATCACAAAAAAAAAAAGACGTCAACACATAAACAAATCCAATTTGCAAGCCTGATTTGGACCCTAATTGGAACAAATTAATTGTAAAAAGATTTATCTTTTCTGTGGGATTTTTTTTTTTCTTCTTTTTTTAAAGAGGGAGTCTTGCTCTGTCACCCAGGCTGGAGTACAGGGGCACGATCTCAGCTCAACTACAACTTCCACCTCCCAGGTTCAAGCAATTCTTCTTCTGCCTCAGTCTCCTAAGTAGCTAGAATTACAGGTGCCTGCCACCGGGCCCAGCCTAAGATATATTTTAAAGATCACCTGGTTTTAAAAAGGCAACTGATTTTTTTAGTAGTAATTTTAGAGTTCATATGGAAAAATAAACAAAATTCAAGGTAATCTGAAAAAACAAAAAAATCAGTCTTGGCAGTGAGTGGATGAGAAGGTAGTCCTATTAGATTAGTGAAGCAGAGTGAAAAATCCAGAAACAAATTCAACCACAAATGGACACTTGGTATATGATAAAATGACATTTCATAACAGTTTGTATGACCATAATGGAATTACATTATTATCTATCTGTCTATCCATGCACACACACACACACACACATACACACACACTTGCACTTTAAATACAGGGTCTCCTTCTGTCACCCAGGCTGGAGTACAGTGGTGCAATCACAGCTCACTGCAGCTTTAAACTACTGGGCTCAAGCAATCCTC